ATAAAGGCAATCGACCTTTCTGAAAGTCACGCATCGCTGACTAAATGTCGACTGGTACAGCTGCACATCCGCTCTTCTCGTCATTGAAATATCTTTTTTTGTTTGACTGATTGTATATTCATTCATATTTCATATTACTCTCTACTCGCATTCGTTTAAATTTATGTGCACATACATATCTAGTTTTTTCCGAGCAGCATTCGTAAATGTTATTGTGGAATACAAAACACCACAGAATCACTTTGCATTTAATTGTCTTTTCTTTCTACGCAATATATTTATTTCCTTCCAACATAAAGCCTGAATCAACAAATGAATATTACAAAGACTCAATGAAATTTCACATTCTTTCGCTCTGCAGTTGAAATTGTGTTTACGAGTTTTTGGGTGATGATTCAAATTGGGTTGAATTTTGAGTTGATTCGTTCATTGAACTTGTCGTTGATCAGCGACACTTCACCAGTGGGCGATTTATTTGTCAAAGAACTTTTGAGAAGTTTCTGAAGTTGGGATTTTTTCGTTTTCGGAATTTTAAATTGTGTTTAAGTCGGTTTGTACACGAGCGCTTCATTGTTTTAATAACGCATACGAAAGACGGCGGACACGAAGTACTTACATGCAGCAAAGTATCATTTAAAGTCTGTTTGTAAAGCGATTTAAACTTGCCTGTATTAGATAAAACAGTCTGTGTGATACACTCTCTTATAACTCGTTTTGTTTTCACTACAACTTAATGCAGTGTCTATCGCCAATTCGACGTCATTTGAGTGCATATCTATTTCTCGTTCATGATTACTCACCAGCAATCTATGCAAGTTAGTGGGCAACAGGTGAGTAGTGTGTGCGATAAAATCATATTTGGAGACATATCTAAAATCAGCTCCCTCCTGCTGTGTCATCGAAATTCATTTCTAGGCCACGTGATACACTAGTTAATCAGACACTGTGAGAGAAATGAAAGCAGTTTGACGGAAAGGCGATTTTCGTGCTAGCGACTTCACCGCCGAACAACATTAAAAAGCAATGATGCGTTGAATTCGTGTTGAACAAAATGTGATGTAATAATGAATGTTTGCTTATATTTCAGATGCTGCTGAACAAAGTTGAATTATAACATCGTTATTATTCTTATTATTATTTTCATTGCATGAGGAGTACTTTAACATTTTTTCGATATTATTGTCAGTATTATGGATGGATTCAATTCAGTGATACAGCGGCGATATAATAATATTTTTGAAGTACATTTCCGCACAAGGCCCTCTCCTCACCTTCGATATTACAATATCAGTTGTTCCATAATATCAGTTTTCTTTTTCTTCAATATCATTTCAATTTGTTACACACTTCCATGCTCATATCAGGTAATTTTTATTCATTTTTGTCTGTTTCATCCAATTATTTCACTCAGTTACATCTCACGTATCAAATATGAAAGTGCATAAATAATCGTGTTACTATTTTGGTAGCGTTTCGTATCATTGTAAAATCGCTCAACTTTATGATTGTATGCAGTTGTATTTTCATGAATCTTCACAACGAATGAAAAAAATTCTGCATGAATGAATTACTGCAGCAACTTGATCAGTGTATTAAAACCGAGAAAAAACAGGCACTGCAAACCAAGCTGTATTCGTTCTTGGAAAATGCTACGAATTTTTAGGTGCCCGATGTAGATGATATTGTTTTTGATGTACCACTTGAAAATGAACATCCGCTGAAGCGACAGGCCCGGCAAACGAATTTATCTTCAGAATATCAGCCATTGAGGATTCATTTGCATTATGACAATGGAAGCATATCGTTGTTAGTATTATCATTATTAGCTACTCGTTTTCATCAGTTCAGCATTCAATTCGTGCCTATTGAGCTGATTTATCTGAATATGTTCAGCAATATAATATTTATGATTCCGTGATTGATTTCATCACATTTAGTTACATTCGCAGGAGCATCATTCATGTCAATACTAACATTCTCAATAGACCATAAATTATCATTCTTTTCAGACTCTCTGCGGAGCTGCAATCATTCGTCAGTGTGAGTCGTTCGTTGATTTTTTGATCTTTCAGCCTTTTGTGAGAATTTTAAACAATTTCTCATCAAATTGAAACGATTTATTGTGTTCATAAATTTGTTTCAATTACTGAACTATATTTACATTCTTCGCCAATAAATTAATTTCCCTCTTTTTCTGCTCACCTTCCTTTTATTAACCCATCATTGATTGATTACTCTTATTTATCTGAGCGTGTCAAGTCAACCGATAACCCATCTTTGGAGTCAAGCCCATATCATTTACTTCCCGTTAAATTTCAAGCCAAGCAAAATATTTTATCAAATACAACTGCATTTTATTGATCAATATCAGCAACACAACCATATGGTGTGTTGCTGATGTTTTTGACCATATGGTCGTCAATTGTTATCCGCCGTGTGATTGATCACATGAGTGACTACTAACTAACTGATAGCAGGAGTTTATTCCTTTTCCTTGTCAATAATAGCATCATCACTGCATTATCAACAATATCAGTTATCACTGCTGTTATAAACTATTACTATCACCATTCCGATCAAGACTAAATCAGTGAATTGCAGACATCCTTACTGCCAGATGCAGTCGGCTATTGGACTAGTGCTTTGTCAGTGCGTCGCAAAAATGCACCCATACGGCTGAACAGGTGCTGCATAATTTATGATGTGTTTACCAAACGTGAATGACAATACATTCATATTGACAATTTAACACTGCGCACTTGTTCATCGTTGAAACACTTCTTTTTTTGTCACAAAAATAAGTTTCAAGGAGATTCTAATCGAAAAGCATTCATAATTTAATATTATGAATAATGATTTAATTCAGAAAGTGTCTGTCGAATCATTATTACATAAGACCAAATGAAAAGAGTCAGCATCAGTCTTGTGTGATGGGGTGTAAAAGGAAGACAACGTGTGGTGAGATCGTTGTGCCCGAAGAGCATTTATTCGTACGTATTACATACTGACATTTTGTAATATTCCGTTTTCTTTTCCATTCGCCATGATGAATAATGAATTGATATTGGTATGAACATGGTTGAACTAATATTGTTTCACTCTGATTTCGAATTAAGTATCGTAGAATGTATATAGCGAAACGAATGAAATTAAACATTATTTCAGCAATGCAGATATTGCTCATCACCAAATCCGTACAACTGTATCGCGTCAGGCCCAAATGATGGACCAGGTGTTGAGAATGCTGACTTCTTATTGTATGTATCCGCCGTATTATCAGACAGGTGTAAAAACATCGATACGGTTGCTTATGCTGCACACTGTCAACAAGAAGCTGATTTTGATAGGTGAATATAGCAGCATATTTATAAAACATTTGTGCATCTTAACTGATTACAGTATTCATAATAATAATAATAATAATAATAATAGTGCTAATGAGGATGTGACTCTTAAATCTGCCTATCAAATTGTTATTGTAGAATCGATTGTAAACAGAGCATCGCTCATTTTGAATGTTTTTGTTCAGCAACGAAACTAAGCACCAATTTCAGTAATTTTTGATGCATGTTCAACTATTCAAAAGCTATAATATTAGAAAAAAACTCGCAGTCAACACTAAGCTATCTTCAGACCAATAGCTGGTCATGTCAACCTATGTCCAAATGCACTATCGACACAAACACACGATCAAGAAGTACTCCTCTCTACAGTTAAACATGAAATTCTACATGCACTCGGATTTTCGGCTGGTCTTTATGCGTTCTTCCGTGACGACAACGGTAACCCCAGAACTAAGCGGTTTGTTCCACAGCATTTCATAGTTTGTGTTATACAGCTATCCAAATGCATTTTTCTTGAGAATTCGGCAGAATATATTCGAACAGTGCATTGCTCAGTTCTGAACTACTTGTTTACTTTGATACTTCTAAAGGTACAATTGCATTAGCTAATTTTAGCAATCGATACAACAAGCCACTATCACTGAATCGTGAACGAGGTTATTATGATTGGGATTCGAATACCGTTAAAACAATCATGCGAGATGACTGGTGGACTGCTGATGGCATTGTAATCCCATTATTAGAAGCATTCATTCAATTACTTTCTGAATTGTTTACAAATTTCATTCAGTGTAGTCTCGATACAGTACACCACCTTAGAGTATGGCACTTCCGTTTCTATTTTTCATTAGAATAAACAACCACCATCCAAATATTTTCACTCGTTTCGTATCGCTCAGTTTCTAATACATTCCAAATTTGCTCAGTCTCTCAATCGTTCCTCCCCTCGCTTAAATTCGTATCAAGCGCGACCGCTATGTGTCTCTAAATCAGGTCTAAAAATTTTCACATAAATAAATGCTCGATGTTATGATATCATGAACTTAGAGCACTTTTATCATATTGGAAATGATTATTTATTATGAGGCAATAGATGAAATATTCCTCTCAGAATGAGGACATGAGTTTAGAGATGAACGTTTGGATGGGTTTAGAGATGAACGCATAGAAACGGAGACTGTTATTCTGATATCATTAAGAGATTCGCTAGATGAAACATATGTAGCAGCATATTTCAGGTGTCTCATCCAGTACATATGATGGTGACACCAAGGGTGATGCAAGAAGTAAGAAGGCATTTCAATTGTGATCATTTGGAGGGTGCTGAACTGGAGAATCAAGGTGGTGATGGAACTGCTTTCACTCATTGGGAGAAGAGACTTTTCGAGGTTTAGTCATTTCTTCGAATTCGTTGCTGGTTTTCTGTTGAATTCGTTGCTGAGACTCATTAACATCGCGGAAATCCTCCAAATTCCTGTTCCGATCACATCTAGAAACTCGCCTCAACTATGGGACAGTTTATCCGATAAATGCAATGTTTTGCGCTAGAAAATTCTTCAATTTTATTGAATTCAGTTCTTTATTCCTTGACATGAATTCCTTCAATAAATTCAGCTTGGCGTCACTTTGAGGAAATCCTTTTATATTATTCGCCTGAGATGAATTGCAATTTTATCATTGTGCTGCTTAAGCATTTTATGTTGCTGCCTAAAACCGATTGAACGAATTCAATTCTTCAAATGATACTCATTAGATAAAGAGTATCATTGTTAGAATGCGACCGCGGTTCATTTCATTCACTGCTTTTGTGAACATGTTCTTATTGAGTTGAGTTATGCAATCCATTTGAAGATTTCGATTCACATTTCGAACCAGAAGCTAATAGTCAATTTTGACTTTAAGCTGTTTTTGGTATTTTATTTATGAAATTGGTTTTTGGAATAATGGAAGTGAATCGATTGACTGGATGTGTAATGTGCGTAGAAAAAGCCTCTTAGAGGAGAAAGGATATCGAACCTCAAAATGAGCCATGCGAGTAGCGCAGTGAAAGCTTCAGTGGTAGCTTCCATCAGCAATAGTCGCTTTGTGTTGGGGGAACTTACTGCATCCATTCTGTTATTCATCATTTCGTGTTTTGTACATCTTCGATGTTGATTGCGATCGCTCTAGGAATAATCAAAACAACATCAATTGCTATGCTCACAACAGAGATAATGAGGATAAATGATCATTTCAGAACGAAGCAATGACTGGCACGCACACACAAAATCCAGTCTATTCTCGCCTAACACTCGCTCTTCTTGAAGACAGTGGATGGTATCGTGCTAACTATAGGTTAATTCATGCATTTTTTCATAAAGCCTGCCTTGTTCCGCATATTTCTGACGTTGTTCAGATGAGTACATCAAATTTTTAGTTCCTCTTGTATTCCACAATATTCGTACAGAAATCGAGACTGTTCGATGTGCAGATAGTTTTGGTAATAATAATGATAGTAATAATAGTGATTATTATCATTACTTTCATCATTGTTATTGTTGTTATTATTATTGTTATGATTATTATTTATTATTATTGTTGTTATTATTATTATTTTACTATTATTACGCAATAAATGCTAAGAATCTCATCAATCGCTAAATGCTTCACCACGGATCCAAACATTAACGCCGAACATTTATCCTTGCTTTCAGTGTTGCCGAGAACCTGCATTGGGGCAAAGGTCTTGGGTGTGAGTTCGCGCAAAAAAGTTGCGGTGAATGGATTAATAAACGATCAGCAAGGTTGTTTGTTACAATTTAGTATATTCTTCGATTCGTTCTCTGAATTCAGCTTTTAGATAAAAACGAAATCTCTCAGAAATCGTCAGTTGTGTCATTCAGATGATGTTTCAACTTTTAAACAGAGGATGAAATCACTCTTGATAGAGCTGTGCAAGTGTGACAAATCAAGTTAATGTTGCTGACAGTAATAAGGATAGCAGTCGTAAGATTAACGAAGATATTGATAATAAGATCAGTACTGTTTATAGGTCAGAATCCATATTTCCGTATTGCAACGAGATAAAGCACGATGGTAAGCGATCACTGGCAACGACACGTTGTACGGCTCAGCGAGACTCATTGGCACTTTGTAATCTGGTATTATCTAACGTTTCACTTAGAGCACTTTAATCCACTATTACATCCTCCACTCTTTGCGTGTTCACTTATGACGACTATGCAATGCTCATAAACAATCTCTCGCATTACCGTTTTATCTTAAGACATTGCGAACGTTCAGATTCCTTATCGAGAAATTCTTCCGAAAGACTATCAGAATTTCGAGAAGCTCGAGGGCGTGCAAGCTGCTGGAGTTAAGCATTATGGTGGATCAGTGGAACTTGCCGATTTTTGCCCATACAATCAAGTGAATAATTTTTTTGCATTTGCATAACTGTATCGAACGGGCACAGATCATGCAATAATATCACCCTACGTATCTGAGAATTCTGAAATCGAAACAATTTATCTCCCTAAATGCAGAGTGAATAGAAACATCGTAACGGTGGGAGTAGCGGTATTAATGACGATGATAGTAATGGTAATAAATATCAGTGATGGGCGCGCTACTGACAAAATTAGCATCCACTGTCGCTAATTAGCCAACAAAATATTTTTGTTCTACTAAAAATAATGCGCAAGTAG